AATCTTTTTTGGAAATGCAAGAGCATGTTTTGATATAGATTACCGAAGCCTGGGCTGGGGAGGAGTTCATACACGCGCCCCGAGCGGGAGCACTGATTCGAGGTCTCTGGGTGGGAAGCCAGTCTTGCGAAAAAGATGTTTCCCTTTCTCTCCCACGAACACTGATCTGAATCTTCAGGCACTGTTTTCTCATCCTTCCTACGGCATCTGCAATTTGATGGGCTAGCTGTGCTAATACGCAGGCGGCGGGCTGCCCAGACAACATTCGTTACCGTTACAGCTAAAGGCCATTACCACAGAAGACGCTCGGACGTGGTGTTTTTCTGCATTATGGTAGATGGAGCACTATTTTACCTTTTCTTTGCTTTGCCATGGTCAGAATGCACGAAGAATTAAATGCTGCCCTCTCTTTACCTGGTCTTTAGTGTCACACACCCCACCACCACCTGGCACCCCCAGGGACTGCAGATCAAAATCCAAACTTTTGAATGTCCCTTATAGCCTGAATCCAACTTCTGCCCTTCCTGGTTCTTTTCCCCGTCTTGTCCGTGTGAAACCTCTGCAAGGGATGGCCAGCTAGATGCGGGCACCGGGCGAAGACTTGGGGGACAAGAAAGAATTCTCCTGTCCAGGAGACATGATGAAATACTAAATAGCCATGCATTTGAGCAAACATTTGTTGAATGCTTACAACGTGGCAGGCGTTGTCCTAAGGTTCTCATGCACAACTCAGTCAACACTACAAGGGAATGTGTTATTCCCATTTGAGGGATAGGGAAACTGAGGCATAGAAAGCCTCAGTCACGTGCCTAAATTCATCGGCCTGGGCTGCTGAGTCTGCAAGCTTGCCCACATTGCCGTTGGCCTGTCCAGAGCGTGGTGCTTCAAACCCAGGGGAGAATAGGGGAGGATGCCCAGGATTCATGAGTTTATTATGTAGACACAGCATTTCTGAAGGGAGAGTGTGGCATGTAGGGGAAGAACTCTGGAAATGTTCTAGCACCTTCTCCCAGTTAGTCTGCTTCCAGGCCTGCATCCTGAAGAGATCATCAGAAATGCTGTCAAGAGTCACCTCTAAGGACGTCAGTCACATCGTTATTTCTCACTGCACAATTGGGACATGATCCATATTTTTAAAAAATTTTTAATTATAATGTATTTGCATTTCAACATTACATTTTTGGGATGAATATGTTCACATCTTGGACGTCCGAGCAGCACTTAAGTATACAGAGAAAAGTCTGCTTTTGGCATGTGGTAAACCAGATGTCCTGAAAACACTTCCTGTTAAGACATCCCAAACTAATAAATACGGTATCAAGAAACGAAAACCTAAGTGCATGGTTGAGCCAGCGAGCAGGAAGGAGAAATCAGAGACTGAAAAGGAAACAGAACAATAAGAATTGAGATGAAACCAAGGGCAGCCCAGGGATAGGAGCAGCCAACAGACCTGCGAGGCTGGGCGCGCTCATCTGGGGCTGGGCACCCTTCCACACGTGCACCCAAGGGCAAGCGCCAGGATGCTGTAGATGCTGCATACATCCCGGTTGGGTATGTGCAGACACAGACAGTGGGGTGTCTACATAGGAAAGATTCATGACATGGGAAGAGAAGAGCAAAGTCACAAATACGTGACAAGAGTTGGAATGAAATCTAAAAACAGGCAACCATAATATTAGACTTTTAAGCTTAAGTTTAACTCTAGGAATATCTTATAGAAAACCGAAGAAGAGATAAACACAAAATCCCTTGGGGGTCCTGGCGGGTTGGCTGTGGTTGACGGGGCAGGAGGGACACGTGCGGGTCACCCCCGCTAAACACACCTATAATACGACGGAGAGGCTCCCTTCTAAGTAGGAAATACTTTGTACTTACAATTTTAGAAAAATGATCAGAAAAAAATATTAACATTATTTTTTGGGCAGTGGAATTGTGGTGATTCTCATTTTTTCCTGTTACATGTCTAAATTTTCTGTTTTTTTTCAAAGTTTAGAATGAATGTGTTATTTTTATCTTATGATTGTCCTTTTTTATTATAAATCTTTCCAATATAGAGAAAATACAGGGAATAATATAGATGGAACACCCAAGTGTTCATTGTACCAACTTGAATAAATCTAGACATTTTGCCAAATTGGACTTTTTTTTTCACATAAGAGAGAAGATGAGACAGGAGGAGTTGAGGCCGTTCTGTGGCCCCACCGGACCTTCTTCAGAGGCAACCCCCCTTCTCAACTCGGGGTGTATTCCTGTCCGTGAGTTCACACGTGCACTGACCGTGTGGACCCGTAAATGGTGATAATCACACGCATGGAGGTTTCTATGTGCAGGAACCTTCTCCCGCTGGGTATATTCTTCCCCCGAAAAGGCTTGTAAGACTTCCTCATGCTGACTCATGTGGGCCTTGGTCATTCCTTTAACTGCTGCGGGAAGAGTCCACAACACACCTTTCTGTGGCCTGACTGATGGACACTCGGGTGTCTTGTCATCAAACACGACATGGCAGGAGTGTCTCGTGCATGTCTCCTTGGGTACAGCTGTGAGAACTCAGGCTTATGACCTGATGGGAAGGGCCTCTGGGATTCAGGGACAGATGTGCTCCCCTTGCCCAAGCATTCCAGATCATTCTCCGGGAGTATATGAGTGTGTGTGTGTGTGTGTGTGTGTTTGCCTATGTCCCTGTCTCTCCTGGGTCATATCCGACCTTCTAGGGCTCCAAATCTGAATGATGTAAATACCATCTCATTGTGGTGTGAATTCTCTGAATTCACAGTGCTTTTCAATCAGACGTACAAACGTTAAAGATGCCCTTTGAGGTAAGTGACAAGATTTTACTTTTGGACAGCGAGACTGGCATGCTGACAGTGGGCATGACCAGGCAGGGAACAGGCGTGGAGGGAGCTTGCAGATGGAGAGGACATCAAATGTGACGTTAGAGGCACAGAAGGGCAAAGGACACGCAAGTACAGTACAGGGCTGGCCCGGGTGGAGGGCAGAGGCCGTGGCGGGAGCACTGGGGCTGGGCAGGGGCTTCTAGGCCTGGGGGGGTGGGGACAAGGCCTTCCTCCTCGGCAGGCCGGGGAGACTCTGCTTCTTGGAGATTCTGGGTACTGAGACAGGTCAGAATTCACATTTTGTGCTCCAGGTTTCCTGTCTTGTGGAAAGCTGGGGCCACCCCCGGGTCATCAGACATTAGCCCAGTTCCGTCCAGGAGAGACAGCAGCTGGGCGGGGTGCTGAGGGGGCTCTGGGAGGCCTGTGGCCCAGCCATGCACTCCGTGGACCATCTCCTGCCCCAGGTCTGGAGCACAAGGCACCGGGCCTAACAGGGGTCTACAATCCCATCTCATCTGGCGGGATCCAAAACACACATTCTACCAACAGCTTCTTCCATGGCTCGTTGTGGTATTAAGGTACCAAGAACCTGTAGCTCTGAAGGTCACCCAATTCAGAAATACTCTTAGCTAAGTATTCCACCCAGCAACCCCAGGAATGGCACCAGGAAGGGACAGACTGAGCAGGGCCCCAGCCTTGCAGCAGACGATGTCGGCACGCCCCAGGCTCTGTCCTCCCTGTGTTCATGAAGCAAGAACTCAAAAAACATTTGTCTCTCTGTGTAGTTATTACCTAAAAGACAAACCTGATTATGTCACTTTGCTGCTCAAAGTCCTGGGGTGACTCTCTACTGCCCTCAGCACAGATTTTTTTAAAAAAGTGTTTTTTAATGAAGTAAAACCCCTTTTCAAACCAAATCTTAGAATCCTAATGTCAGAAGCCAGTGGGTATGAGTGGTGATTTTTACTACCTGTCTGTAAGCACAAGGTCTATAATCTTCCTGTAACTATCCAGTGCATAAGCAAAGACACATGGGGGTCCGCTGTGAGTCTGGACTGGGGAAACACCCTATTGGATGCTGGCCGGGGTCTGGAGAGTAGACCCAGCCAGGGGTCCTGGCTGTTAGATGCCTGATGTCACGCGTCTGGGCCCCTGGGCACTCCCTACATGGCCGGCCCAATCATCCCCAGCCGTCCCCGGCCCGGCCCAGCCCACGTCTCCAGGCTGGGGTCTGTCTACACTGCCACAAGCACGAGGCATTCCATCTGGTGAGTGGGTGACCTTCTTCCCTTCCTCCAGGACTGCAGAGGCCACTCTCCAGCAAAATCCAGCCCCAAAGCTGCCTTCCGTCCGTGGCAAGCCCCTCAGACCCACGGACCTGCTCGTGGGGCATCTCGTGAATGGTCATTGGTCAGCTATCATATTGCATTGTCCTCGTGCCTCTCCCTGACAGTGCCAGGAGCCACTCACATCCCAAGGACGGGCACCTCTTCTTCACTCCTTACGGCCCACCATGCATGCAATGCTGTGCATGGGAGAGGCCCTGAATTTGTCATGCCGAAAGGGTGACTAAAGGAGGGAGCTGATTTTTTTTTTTTTTTTAAGTAAGACTTGTTGCCTTTGGGGAACTAAGAAAAATTAAGGCTTTTCATCAATGCTGTCTGAGAGGCCTCCCTGGACAAAACGTTAAAAATAAACAATTTCCCGGGGACCCAAGGCACACAATTCACTCTGGAAACTTCTTAAAAGGATGAGGTGAGGGCCCGGCAGCCAAGGATGTCTCCCGGAACTGGGGAGCGAAGCCTGGGTCTCTGGCTCCCATGAGCAATGAGGCTGCTGCTTCCCAGACGCCCATGGAAACAGCCTGGTTATTTTAGAGCTGAAGGAAGGGCCAAAGACAGATGGTTTTGTTGCGAACCCCAAACAAATGGAAGGTGTTCTGGGCCAACAAAATGTAAATTTCAACCTGCAGAGGAACCTCAGCACATAGCTCACAGGACCGAGGAGGTATCCTGCTTTCCTTTGCACAGAAAGTGCCGGGTGGCGGCAGGCACATTTTTTTCTTTTGGTTCAACCTCTTTGATGTGTAATAAAAACACACGAAATCAATGTAATTGCTATTTTCCTCTGAGCTATGATCTCTTTTAATCACGGCCGCTTCCTTACCCAGAACGATGCCGTTGGGCTCTTCCGGTGGCTGCCACACGATCCGCACGGATGTGAGTCTCACTTCTGGGAACACGAGCCTTACTGGTGGGCCTGGGGCTGGAGGGAGGAGAGGAAACCTGTGAGCCAGGTGTCGATATGGGGCTACAGGGGGACGTGATGAGGTTACAACATTACATAGGGCTCTGTGGGCTGGCCAAGCGTTTGCAACCATGGGTGTCTCTGTTCATGGACCAGATGCCCCAAGGCCGCGAATGACTTTTGGAATCTAACTGGCTCCATGTGGCCCCCTAATGGTGTTGAGAAAACACCTCATTTAGAACCCAGCTCAGCTGCTTTTCCAGCCAGAAACGGTGCTCACAGACCGTGCTGGGAGCCCGAGAGTGCAAGGGGCGTGAGGCTGCAAGTGTGTCAGGCCCAGGGTCAAAATTCTGCCAATGTGGGCTGAATCCTTTTGGGGGCTTGACACCTGCTATCAGGAGTTAGATAAATCCGATGGCCTAAAGTCCCTCCCCATGTTTACAATGAATGATTATTCCCCTATGCACCGTCTTAGAAAATTAAGAGTTGATGTGCACAAACGTGTATAATAATTCTGTGTGGCATGGCGCCATTGCCTACCAGTGTCATGGCCCTCGTAAATATATTTACTTAAAGGGGGAGGCGAGTGGCCAGTCCAGAACTTCTTGTTGGAACTGAACAGATTCCCAGATAAGAGGCAAGGGGCTCAGAACAACGAACACAGAGATAGGATTATGGGTGTTAGAGTCATTCCGGGGCCGCTGAATTCTGCCTCTCACTATTAAGTGGAGAACAGTATTTAAAATTTTAAACCTGTGGTTTAAATAAATCTGTGACCCTTGTGTTTGGTAACATAAATGTAAGGAGGGTATGGGTTCAGAAGCCAGGACCAGCTGCAAAATATGTGAATTTCAACAGCAGGCTTATGTGGCCTCTGTCCCCTCCCCCGTCCCCAAGCCCCATCACTGGGATCACACTGAAATGAGGGAGTGGAAAGCATGCTTCCAATCACACTGTGGGAGAAGAAGGAAGAGCATTCTGTGAGTTCCAGCCTCTACTTTAGAAGGAGGTAGTTGTGACTGGCCAAGGTTGGAGGCCCCTTGTACTTTCCGTTCGTGGCTGCCATGGGTTCGCAGAGCTCTGCTAACATCCTTGAGGCCACTGCCCCCCCCATCAGACCCCAGCCCCCCCACCCCGAGCTCTGCATCCAGGACAGGACGGGGTGCAGAGCTCTTTCCTCTCCTTGACTCAAGCCCAGCGCTGCTGCTATCTCCCAGGAGAGTACAAACAACCGTGGGGCTAACTGAATGACCTCGGCGTACCAGGAAATCGAGTTGTTACATTTCTGCGAGAAGCTTCTGATCCCTAAGGTGTGTGAGGGGGGTGGGGGCGGGGAGAGCTGTATTTCCCCTAGAATATGTACCACCCCCTCCCCGACTATTTGCTACAGCCCATGTAACAATAAAAATGTAAAAAGAGATAACCTTTAAGTGTTTGACATCTGCAAAGTGGAAAAACATATGCGCTGATGATTTAGACTTCCATAAAAACAGAGCTGTCAAGAGGCGCTTGTTATCCCGGCCTGGAAGCATGGGTGTGGGGAGTCTGGAGCCCGCGGAGTCCACAGAGCCCACTGCACTCAGGGCATGAACTTCTAGGGACCTCTTGGAGTGAGGACCGCGGGAGCGGCTGGCACCAGGGAAACAGAGGCACCCAGGCTGGGGGTGGGGCTCCTAACCCGATCTGTGCAGACACCGCCAGCCGGAGCGGCTGGATGTTTTATGGCCCCCGCCCAACCCGGCCTTTACTGTGAAGCCTCTTTCAATTTACGACCGAAATTCGCAGAGGTTCATAATTAGGCTGTAAAAATTCACTCGGGGCTGAAATTGGCCATATAAACGCTCAGTGACTGAAAAACAATCCTGTTTTGTTTTTCTCAACTGAGAAAAGGTGGGGGGAGGGGGTGGTGGAAGTGGTTTGAAAATTAAGTTACTAATGACCAGCGCTCGGGTCGCTGGGGCTGTTGGAGCACGCCGTTACCGTACCGTCGTCCTTGGTCCGCTCCAGGACGAGGGGCGAGCTGGGCACGCCGTTGCCGATGCGGGTGAACGCCAGCACCTGCAGCTCGTACAGCACGAACTTGCGGAGCCCGGCCAGCAGCGCCGACTGCGTGTGGTTCCCTCGCACGACGTGACTGCGGGGCTCGGGGTCCAGGTCTTTGGCCCGGAACAGGATCTGGAACCACAGCGTACAAGTGTGTGGTCACGGGGGTGTGGGTGTCAGGAGGGGGTCCCTCCAGCACACGGCCAGCACCAGCTGACTGCGGATTCTCTCCACAGCGGCTGTGTTCCAGGCTTACGGGTCTAGTTTCCATACGCTGGTGTTTTGCGGGGAAGACGGTCTCTGGGGCAGGAGAGGAGCTGGAGTCATGACCCAGGCCGAGGCTGGGCGGCCTACCCCCGAGCCATGAATAACAAGATCCGAGGCGCACGACAGACAGTAGCCACACCACCTGCGGCCATGAGGACGAGGCCTCCGTCACAAACGCAGACAGTGTGCCTCCTGCAGAAGGAGCCAGCACCACCCACCCCCCCACCTTGGTTTCCTAGCTTCTTGGGAAATTGGGCTCCTACCTCAGGACAGCTGCTGTAAGTCCCGGAATCCCGGGCCCCACGCACAGACACAGCACCCTGGGAGGCGCCGCTCCATGGCCCTGCCGGCTCCCTCTGGTTTGCTAAGTCCTCATTCACAGCTCACCCTTCCTGAGCGGGTCCCTCATTCGGGGGCCCAGAAGGCCATGGAAGATGGTGGTCCTCAGGGAGGAGCCTGAACGCCACAGGGCAAGCTCTCTTCACCGGGACCCAGGTCACTGCACCTGCCCAGTAGCAGCGCCATGTCCAGCAGGGCCTGAGGCAGCCTGAATGCCCCGGGAACAGGTGGGGAGAACCAGAGACTAGGGATGGAAACCAGGAGAGCGGGGAGTCCCCATGCCCAGAGGCCGTGTGAGGTGGGGTGTAACAGACCAGGGTGGAGGGGGGCTGCTGGGCACATCCGGGAAAATCCATCCCTCTGCTCAGGGGAGGGGATGGAACACAAGCACACGTGCGTAAGGGCAAGTAGGACTGAACCCGGCAAGGGCTCCTGGAGAAGCAGAAAGGCGCACGCCCCCTCCTGTGCCGCCATCGCCCGGGACTGCCCAGGGTGCCGGCGTGCCCGTGTGTGAGCAGGTAGCTCGCACTGACTCGGCACACGCTAGGAGCAAAGCGCTTCTTACAAAATTGAACCCCCTTGCTTCTCAGGCCAGACTCAGAGCCAGCCACCACGGGTACTCCTGTTGTACAAGCCTGGAAGCAGAGGCTCCTCGAGTTTACGCAGCCGGCTCCCATCCGTGCCTTATCAGCGCCTACGTTAGGACGTCGTACCCGGGCCTCATCCCCAGATGGAAATGAAGTTTAGAGGAGACAACAGATGTGAACATCACAACACAGGCTTGTGTTGCAGGTCTGGACGTCCCTCTGAGCTCCTTGGTCTAGGGGAGTGACACGCGGGTGCACCTGCAAGGCCTAAGCATGGGACGGTCACCCCCGACATACCTTGTAGCCCAGTATGAGCCCATTCTGGTCCTGTTCGGGCACCGAAGCCCACGTCAGTAAAATCTGGGTGGAGCTGACGGCCTCAGCAGACACGTTTTCAGGCGCAGCTGAAGGAACTGCAAAGACGAGTAAAACAGATTGGTACCCAAAGTCCAAGGGCTTCTGTAAATAAAGATCCAATTTTTACCCAATCAAGTTGTCCTTGAAAGAGCAATGAATTCTAAGCATTTTGGAGTGGTCAGATTAAGCCTGCAGGGGTATAACAGAAATGTAAATCTCTTTAATATTAGCAGCAATTCCACAAATCCGGGCTACTTAGGAGCTCAATCTTACCTGAATCCACCCAGCAAGAAAATCTGCTTGGTCTGTTTTTATATTAACTTGTGGGACCTGCAGACTTTGATCTCAGGTCACTCTCACACACCAGTTCAGTGATATCTCTGAACGTGGTATTTCAAGAGGGGGCAGAGGTGCTGGTGAGGAGGGGACAGCATGGTCTGCATGAAGGGGTGGGGAGGGAAGATTTCCTAGGCACTGAGTGCACGTCTTGTCCTAGGGGTCTCAGATCCACCGTCATCTCTAAGAGCCACAACAGCCCCGGGAGGCAGGGGTTATTAGCCCCATTCTGCAGATGGAGAGACCAAGGCTGGAGGAACCCCCCCCCATACGTTTCAGTGAGGGCTATTTCACGAGATGGACCTGTGGACACGAGCTATGCAATTCTTGACTTGTGTATGTGTAGGATTTTTATTCTCTTCTGTTTAGGTATATCATTGAACAAATTTCAGTTTGTCTTCTGTGTTTTCAATGGTTTGGGTAGAAAGTGTGTAAGGACAAGAGTCAAGCTTTAAAAGCAAGGCTTTATATTCCAGATCATCTCAATTTGCTTTGAGAGTTTCCTTGTGAACCCATTTAAACTTTATTCAGACAGAAAAGAGAGATCCCAGAGCTCCCCAGCAAAGTCAGGGGATGCAGTGTTCACGGACAGGCACTGAGCACAAGGCAGCTGTTGGCTGTGGCCTGAAGGTCACACCTCCCATCACGTTCTGGAGCCTCCGTGGTTGAACAGGAGATGAAACCCTGCAAGTCCAGTGGGTTTCATGGAGAGTAATACGGGATAGGACTTGGCATTCAACGTGGGAGGGATCACTCTGCAGAGGAAGGAATGGAGGCTCCGAGTGGTCACCTGCCCACATCCCTAGTAAGGGACAAAACCACCTGAAGCTGAGAGGCACTGAGGTGTTCACAGGGAAGGAACAAGCTCACAGGCTGCGGAGCGAGAGCAACTCGACAAGAATCCCGAGCCATGGGACCTGGGGAAGCTGCTCTGCTCTTCTGGACCTTGACTGTCCCATCTGTGAAATGGCCAAGTGCAGCCCACCCATCCTTGAACCTACCCTCTTTCTCCCCTGTGCCCATCCCCAGCACTCAGCTTTGCAATAAGGAGGCAATCCGTGGCTCTCTGTTCTGAAGAAAGTGAGACAATAACACCATAACTTCCCTTCCCTACCGAAGGAGGGTGAGTGGAAGGCTGCTAAGCCCCCAGCCCTCGCAGCATCCATCCCTTCTCTGCAGGCCACCGTGGCTCTGTGAACAGAAGGGGACGTGCCCTCAAGTGCACCTCAGAAGCAGGGATGCTCTGCTTACAGGGGCTCTCGCCACCCTCCATCCACAGACCCAGCCACCCTCCTTCCCTCCCTCCCTCCCTCCCTCCCTCCCTCCCTTCCTTCCCACGAGTACTCTGTCCTCCTAGCAAAGCGACTGTAAGCAGCTCAGTCATTTGCTCTGAACATACATAGTAACGAGGCTTCGCACAACAATGCTGCTCTCCAATGTCTGATTCCTGGATTTTCTTCACTGAAGTGATTTGGTCTTCATTATGGGTTGAACTGTGTCCCCCTCCCCGCCGGCCTCCATACGCTGAAGTCCTAACCCCTGGCAGGTCAGAATGGGACTTATTTGGAACTAGGGTCACTGCAGATGTCATTAGTTACAAGAGGCCATACTGGCGAAGGGCAGCTAATCCAGCATGACCAGTGTCCTTCGGAGGGCATCGCAGGAAAAGACGGACACGCACGCAGGGAGGCCATTGTGGCAAGTCTGGAGGGACGTGGCCACGAGCCCGGAAGCCAGCAGGAGGGGGGACAGGGTCCTGGAGCAGAGACTTCCCCAGGGTCTGCAGAGGAGCGGGACCCTGCTGACGCCTTCGTGTCTGACTTCTGGCCTTCAGAATGGCAGGAGAGTAAATCTGTGCTGTGTTAAGCCCTCGTTCTGGGGTGCTTTGTTACGGTGGCCTGGGAAACTAATACTGTCTTCAAGAAAAAAGTGCCAGGAGTCATGTAGATCCTAGAGGTGCTGTCACCTTATCTTCCAGCTTGGCCAGGTCACCACCACAGCCAGTGGCTCCTGCAAACAGAGGCCGAGAAGAGAAGACCAAGGAAAGCCCGAGAAGGCACACTGCTGAGGGAACATGGAACTTGGGGGGTTGGTGGGCAGGTTTTGGCACCTTCTGGTCCCCAGACAGTGGAGTCATGGAGGCTTCCCGGCAGCAAAGACCTTGGCTCCAGCCCCAAGCCCGGTGACTTCCCGGCCTCCATGGCCCAGCGGTGGGCCTGTCCCTGCTACTCACCACATCAACCACCTTCAGAACACAGGCGTTAGACTGGCTGCTGGTGGAGGCCAGTCAGTGTGTCCCCAGAACAGAAGAGTCACCTGTTGGTGTCTGTTCGCATAAGGGTTCAGGGATCTTCCTCATACTTTTAGAGAGAGACAATGTCGGTCAGCCCACACCTGCTGGATACACTTTTTCTTCCCAAATATGTCAGTTGGGAGTCATTCCTATGGTTTGTCAGTCATTCAACAAAATAGTAGTAATTTATCTGAGCAACTAAGTGTCACAAAAAAGAATATAATTTCAAGCTTCCTCAGCCCTCTAAGAGACACGTGCTTGCCACCCACGCTTCCCTGTGTCCCCTGTGACTTCTGGTGGCAGCTCCTGTAGGGCTCATGCACATTCTCCATGCCCGAGGGGGCTCCTGCCACGGCAGTCACCCCCGGACATCGCTCACACATATGCTTATTGTGTTCAAGAAACAAGGGTTACTTGGCTACCTTGATTCAACTGTGAACTGAGTCATGACCACTCGAAGAACAGGCAAGCTGACAATTTATCAGACTCTATTTAGAGTAAGATGAGAACTCCAAAGGTGCTGCGTGCCCACGACAGCAGTGCTGCGTTCTAAGAACTGTCCCTGCCTGTAAGAGAGAGACTGTTGTCATAGCAACACAACACGTCCGCCTCTCTAATCCGTAATGATTTCCTACGGGCCCATGTGTGACAAGGTGAGTGCTCAGTCCTTACCACGGATCTACAGATCACACTGATTTTCTAGGGTGTGGTAATATGTGCATCCGTGTCCTGAAGGGCATCCACTGCCCCACAGAAGGAAGGCCACCCAGTGAGTGGGATGACTGGATGTGGCGCCAGGAGCTCGGCTGGGTGTCCAAGGACGGAGCCACAGAAAAAGGCCACACTCGGAATTCCATGTCAGTGGATTCAGATCCCACTGGGATCCAATCTGCCATTTAGTTACAAAGTATCTGTGGTTTTAAGATTTGGTAAGAAAACAAAAATCTTTTCCATTATCTGTTTCGAGGTAGATTTGACTTCCTTTCCAATCTGCCATCTTGCATCTGGGGACAGTGTTAGAGATTCCTTTCATGAAGAACAATCCTGATTAAAACGCTTCTCTTTTCTTCATTCGCTCTCTCTCCAGGATTCCTCACGGCTCAGTCTTTTTGATGTTTAGGGCCTCATTTATCCTTATATCATAATAAATCAGAGGATGTCACGAAGCTAGTTAGAGCATACTTCAAAATGGGAAACGTCATTTCAATGTGGTTCAAGATGTTCTGCTCTGTGCTCCCCACACCAGCTTTCTGTATGGCCATGACTATGCCGTATGAGAGGACCCCTGTGTGGCCATCTCCACAAGACATGCTTCTGCAGTTCTCTTCTCCCCATTGGCTCCCTCCCCCCTTTGCCTCCCCATCAGCTGCACTCCACCCCTGGGCCTTGCAACACCTGCCCTCTCTAAGCCCCCCCCCCCCCCCCACAGGCTGAGGGGTGCCTGGCAGGATCTGTTCTAGGAAGGGGCGATTCCTCTGCTGGACCAGGGAAGGTAAGACATCAACATTGCTGCAATGGAGAGGGGACTGCTTGTCAGAGGTGAAGGGTTGCCCCAGTAGGAAGTTCTGGAAGCACTGTTCAAAGGTGGAGGTGCTGAAGCCCCAAAGGACCAGCAACATTGGAAGGGATGCCAGAGAAGGCCCCAGGTTGGGGGGACCAATGTCTGAGCGCCAGTACTCTTGGTGGAGAGGTCAGCCCAAGAGGAGTCCTAGGAGCCCACTTTTCCTGTACCCCAAATGTCTGAAGTCTGAGTCATCTCATCTTGAAATGAAGATCAATAACCCTATTATTCAATTTGTGATGAAAACATCTGGAGAACCAAAACTCTTCTAATTGAACAAACACCCCATTAAAAGCCAAAAAATAATTTTCTGTAAGCCAGAACCCTCAAAATAAGAAAGAATGTGTGAGCATAAAGCAGAACTTACATTGCAAAGACAATTTTGAGACCAGAAACTTTCTCAATAAGCAAATGATGAAATTGATGCAGTTAGTTCGGGGGGCCTAGTTCCAGCCTATGATTCTCCTTTAGCTGTGCAAAAATATGTCTGTGTTGTTTCTGTCAACCAAGACAAAAACAAACTCATCGTGCCTTTTTTTTTTTGATACCAAAGCCACACCTTGATATTAACTAAAACACAGAAATGTCTACAAAAACAATATCATTCAAGAGAGTCTCCTCAGAGTTATCGGGTAGGAGGCAACACAAGATTGTCTGAAGGGAACAGAGCTAGAAGCAAGCATCTGGGGTGAGCTGACACCTAGAGTGATCTCCCCAGCATTCTCCTGACCACTGTAAAGGGAGCTTTGCAGCAGCTGAACAGATTTCTACAAAAATATAGTCTTACCTCAGCAATTTTGCCATGAGTTTGTCTTTTGAGAGTGTTCTTTGGAAACCTAACAAAACAGTATTATTTTCCATTTTTATTACATTTTATTCAACCTTATGTGTTATTTAGCTTACAGTTTCTGGAACAAAATCCTTGAAAAGTAATTTAGCTGCGTGTAACACTTGAGGTTAACAGTTATTTTCCCTCAGCTCCTTCAAGATTATTCTCATTACATTATGATTCCATTGTTCCATTGTCCTCTGGCCTCCACTGTTCTTGAGAAGTTGGCTTCCAATTGTCTTGTCTTCTGTAGGTAAGATGCCTTCCCTCCAAGTGTTTTCAAAATTTTTTTTGGTTTTCATGCTCTACAGTTGCAGCATAATGTATTTCGGTGTGGATTTATTTTATTTATTCTGTGCAAGATTCACTTTTCTTCAGTCTGATAAAGTATCAGTTCTCAAGCTTCTTGGCTATTATCTGCCTATATTTTCTCATTCTCATCTCCTCCCTCCTTCCCCTCTGAGTCTTATTAGTTATATGTTGGGCCTTCCCATTCCATTCTTTATGTCTTTTAACCTCTCTGTCACGTTTTCAGCCTCAGTGTCTTTGTATTATATTTTAAGTTATTTACTCGTACCTAGCTTCCGGTTTGGTAGTTCTCTCTTTAGCAGCGTCTAAACTGCTTTTCACCTAATGGTAGCATTTTATTTTCAGTGGCTGTGTCCTATTTGTTTTCTTAAAGAGTGCTTCCAAAGTGGCATCTTTACCTAAAGTTTTGATGCTTTATTTTCATAATTTAAGACTACAGCCTTATTTTATATTTATTCCAGTTCTTATCAGGATATAATTGATACACCACATTGTGTAAGATTAATGTGTACAACATGTTGATCTGAGACACTTATGTACTGCAAAGAGACTACCACCATAACATTAGCTAACACATCCATCAGTCACAAAATTATTGTCCCTTTCTTGTAGTGAGAACATTTAAGATCTACTCTCCTGGCAACTTTCAAGTATATAATGCAGTATTATTAACTATGATGATGATGCTATACATAAGATTACTCAGAACTTATTCATTTCACACCGGGAAGTCTTTAATAATTTTAAACTTATATAAATAAGTAAATAACTTATATAAGTAATTTTATACTTATTACATATTCTCTTTCATACTATTATGTATTTTAAAGCAATCAAAGCCCTATTTCCTCCCTACCTCCTTTCCTTTCTTCCTTCTTTCCTAAAACAAAAAAGATCTTACTCTTACTCATACCAGAGTATTTCCTTGTGTGTTTGAAAGTTGTGACTTTATCTTTAAAAGCGGATTTTTCTTTGGGACAAGTTGGCTGTGGCAGTATCTCTCCAGAGATGTTTCCTACTTTGGTTGCCCAGAAAGTCTGGCCTAGAACCGTGTTTCTTTCTTCTTCCTTTTTCATTTTTTGTTTTGTCTTTCAAAAAAAAAATTATCTTGTTTTTGGAGGATAGTGAAATCGTTTATTGGGGTATAATACATAATCTTTCAGGAGGAGTGGATCACTGTTTCCCTGGGGTAAGAAGATTTTCCGGTCAGTGACGATGGTCTTCCTGGCCTTCCAATGATGTAGAAAGTGTACAATCTCTGAACCATACTTATTGTAATATCACTTAACACCTTTACTGTCCAGCTTGTTTTTTTTTTATTTTATTTTAGCCACCTTAGGGGTGTGAACTAGAATCTCATTGTGGTTTTTGTTTTCATTTCCCTGGCGGTGAATAATGTTGAACATTTTTTCATGTGATTACCTGACCATTTGTATGTCTTCTTTGGAGCAATGTCTGTTCAGATCCTTCATCCAGTTTTTAACTGGGTTGTCTTTTCATTGTGGAGTTGTAAGAGTTTTTTTTATGTACATCCTGGATATGGGTCCTTTATCAGATGAAGGATTTGCAAATACCTTCAATGATTGGGGGACTGCTTTTAATTGTTGTTTTTTTACTTTATGGTGTTCTTTGAAGCACAGAGGTTTTTGTGTTAGTGAAGTCTCTTCTTTTGTGGCTTGTGCTCTTGGTATCTGGAACCAAGTTTTCCATTGGTTTCTTTTCTAGGAGTTTCTGGACCCAACAGAGTAAATTCAAAACTCAAACCTGAGTTGGGCACAGGACTTAGAGTTACATTTTTTTCCTATTCAGAGTCTGGGTAGACAGGTGGACTTCCTGTCTACTTCCTGTCCCTGGGCAGAGATTTTCAGTCTCTTCTTTCAATGAGGGTACAGCATTCAGGAGCCTCATCTGTGTGCAGAGACCTTGATTCTAACTCCCCACCTTGTGCAAACTTGTGTCTGAACCTTCTATCCTTGGCTGCAAGTCTCGAAGATCCCAGGATGGATGTCCACATCCCAGGATGGATGTCCACCTCCCAGGCCAACCCCCGGGGTGGCCACAGGACCAGCTCAGCACTTATGGGTTCAGTCCCTGTCTGCCTCTGGCTTCTGGGGATTTCCTCTGGTTTTCTTATGAGGACATCAATGTATTCTAAATCTCAATGATATTTTGTCCATAATTTTCTAGTTACTTACAGCAAAATTTTTTTTTTTTTTTAATGTTTTCTTGCTCTGCCTATTGCTGGGGTTAGAACAGTCCCCTTAGAATGTTTCAAGTCCTCCTTTTTGTCACAAAGACTGAATAAAGCTTTTATGAAATCCATGTGAGCACAGAGCCACAAGCTGAGTGTAATGTCTCGATCTTTTCTTTCTAATGTAATAAAATCTACAGCCTAAAAGAAAGCCAGGAAGGCATCTGAGCCAGCCCCAGCTACTCCGGCAAACCCCTCTTCAAATATCGGTCCTCTTGGAAGGGGAGCACTGTGCTTCCTTCTCTTCAGGAGATAACCTCGCCATTTCAGACCAGGTGGAAAGAACTGGTCTGTGTCACTGTGCGCCTTTAAACATGACTGGAGCCCTCTTTGTCACTCCACTAACTCAAACCAGGCTAGCAGGGGTCCCCTAAACCACAGGTTAGCCTGCAAAGCCCGGCAGATCAGGGGAACTCCCCGCAGCCCAGACTGCAGCCCAAGACTCCTGAGTGCTGACCCGAAGTACTTAGTACATTTCCTTTCCTCCCTGGGTGCCAACAGTAACCCCGAGCCTGGTGGCTCTGTGCAGAGGGGTGCGTGCTATTTCTGGACAAGTGTTAGGGGCCAGGGGTGTATGCTCTTTGCTCCTTCTTCTTCCTCGGGTAGCTGGGCCCAGACAAGGATTGGGCCAATAGCACAGCGGAGTCTAGGTCCCTGAATTATGAGCCCCCTGCCGAACAGGACCCCCGTCCTACTCAGTCATGAGCTTGAAATGAAGCTCTGCTGTGTCAAAGGCAATCGAACCTTCGAGGGGCTACTTGTTAGTGCCGGGGAGATGGTCTCAGTCCCTCCCACACACTACTTTGTCAAGAGGAGGTCCGGAGCCTTGTGTTATAAAGATCTCCCTCAGAATCACTATATACCCTTGCTTACTATCATTAAGGGTGAAAGTCATACCTAAATTTAAAAGATAATACCATGAGTCCAGCCCCCAGTAAGACCTATGATTAATTTCAAATTAGTGGCTTGGACTCTAATGACATTTTCCTGAAATTCCCACCGACATTGACCTAATTTCTGGGTTAGGAAAGTATTGGCATAGACACGGGGGGGCAGAGTCACTGAGATGTGATGTGGGGACAGGGGACATGGAGCCCCATCTCCAGGGAGACCCAGGTCGGGGCTGAGCCTCTGCCTCACCTGACTCCCGCGTGCGGCCCCGCACCGCCTCACTCCAGGGCCCGGCCCCGATGGCGTTGAATGCCTGCACCTGGAGCTCGTACTCCGTCCACTCCTCCAGCCCCTCGATGGTGAACTCCCTTTCCAGCCGGTCGTGGATGACCTGTGCCAGCGCCGGGGCCTGAAGGTCGGGGCGCCAGTACTTAATTCTGTAGCCCACCGACTCGGGGTTCCCATTGTACTGGGAATCAGGCAGCGGCTGGAAGCAAATGACACGCATGGTGAGCCGACATCTCAGAACCACCCCGTCAAGGTCCCCAAGAGTTCGCCGGTCTTAGCAGGCCACTTCCATGGAAAATACTTTCCGGGGGGAATAGTCTTAGAACCTCTACCACGTTGTTCCCTGGAACTCTTCTTCTGTTAATTAAATGAAATCCTGTCAGTAACTCGGGCTGGACACAATTTCTTTTAATACATTTTGGCTTAGTTTTGTGGGGGAAAGTTTCTGAATAAATGTCAAGCCGCCTCTCCTACAAACACCGAGTGTTGGCTCCGCGCTCACCCAGCTTAAGGACTTACGGGTCCGGCCTGCGGCACCACTGGCTTCCCTCCCCCAGAGACGACTCCTCCAGTCCAAGAAGCCAGTGAGTAGGGGCGCCTGGGTGGCTCAGTGGGTTAAAGCCTCTGCCTTCGGCTCAGGTCATGATCTCAGGGTCCTGGGATCGAGCCCCGCATCAGGCTCTCTGCTCAGCAGGGAGCCTGCTTCCTCTGCTCTCTCTCTCTCTCTCTCTCTCTGCCTGCCTCTCTGCCTACTTGTGATCTCTATCAAATAAATAAATAAAATCTTAAAAAAAAAAAAAAAAGAAGCCAGTGAGTAATGCTACTACTCATTAGCAGGATCACCTGGGCTGGTCTGCGACCCAACACCAACTGTGAAATGCAATACTTTTTGGTTTAATGGAGAGATTAGCTCTGACTAGGACAAAGCCATGACTGAGACACCGCTAAGCTCTGGCTTCACGTGCAGACATGGACACTCCAGGCAACTGTCCCTGCAGCCAACTTCCGGCCCCCAACTCACCACCCAGCGGAGCCGCAGGCTGGTCTCGCTGGCCGTTCGCACGGTGACGCTGGTGGGGGCCACATCGGGGGGGGGCCTGCAGGGTCTGGATGACTCGGGATGACTGGCTGAAGGGGCTGGCACCAACGACGTTCACCTGCCTCATGCGAAACCTAGATGGAAAGCCGCAGACAGAGTTATTCTGCAGGAAAGACAGAACAAACACCCACCATCTTCTCAGGATGTTCTGCTGTGTGTCTGTGTCATGAAGACTGTCCCGAGGATGTCCTCTTTCTACTGGGTTTCATGAAAAATGCAAATTGCGTATTTGGCCCTTCCCACTAGAGTCTCCAAGGACTGGTAAATTTGTTCCAACGCAAAGATTTTAAATTCCCAAGCAAAGCATAACTGAATGGGTTACATGGCCAGAAATCTGTCATCAGATGCCATTGGTTGACTTGTGTTTAGGGTAAGGCTGGGGATCAGAGGGCGAGGAGCCAAATGATGGCCTTGAGAGTCTGGTGTCGTTTCAATGAGCACGGGTGCCTGTACCCCATTTTCTGTTGGCTCAGGGGAGGAGCACTGGCCCCAGAACCCACACCCCAGGACTCGGACCCCATTGGAACTGAGACCTGAGGCAAATCAGACTTGCCCCCATTTCCTTACCTACAGAATGAGGGTGCGATGGACGTGCTTTAGAGCCTCGGTTAATATTTTTGGTTCTCTTTCCTCTATTTATTTGTACAATTACTTGGAGTGATCTTTTCCCCAGGAAACATGCTCTGAGCACACACGCGCATTCACCACAGGGGCTGGGAGAGGATGGGGGTCTCCAATCACAGTTTCTGACCTTGGCCGTGATGATACAGCTGGTACCAGCTTCACAGGGTAAGCTTGGAGCCCCCGCAGCTCACTGTTTCAGAAATGTTTTTTTCTCTAAAAACAAGTGTACGGGGCCTTGATCCATCTGCTCTGATCTCAGGGAGGATGTCACAAGGAACAGAGGCTGAACAGCAGCTCTCATTAGGCATTGTTTTAAAAAGCTCTAATGTCGGTATTATACCAAAAAGAAAACGTTCTTCATGAAGATGTAATGTCACCTTTTACTCTCTGAATTAGTCATTCTTAGTCTTTTACTCCCCGATCTTATGAACAACGACATTATCAAACCCAACATCTGGTGATAACTGGAAATTTCATCTCGGTCAATGATCTTACGGGAAGTTATAACGTCTCTAATGGCTTGTGATCACGCTACCTTTTGTTAAAGCCAAGGATTTACTGCCTGGATAAGTTTCAGGATCAACAAGCGAAAGGTTACACGGCGTGTTAAGTGCTTGATTAGTGAGCCCCGCCACTCCTGCATCCCAGGAGGGGGAAGGAAAAGACGTTCCAGGGAAGGCTGCTTTGTTTATGCATGCATGTTAATAGTCCCAAGTGGTTGTGGACTTTGTGGGGAAAAGCCCCACCTCTCGGCTGCCCATGGCTCTTGGTATTGAGCCCAGTGGAAGAGTGAGCCATTGCAGCTGGCGCTGATGGCCAGAGCGCTGCAGAGCCAGCATCGGGTCTGCACCGGAAATAGTACTCAGCCATGCGTCTTGCTCCTAAGGTTCAGTGGACTGTTAGTACCTCTTGGAAATGTCTCAGTTATATGCATGGAATCGGGTTTTGCTCTTCTGGGCTGAAGCCAACTGTTGGCATTGCCAGCCTTCCTCCTGTGGTGGCTTATCACCTGCTGCTCTCACCTGTAATGAGTGTAAGGCGTGAGGTTTGGGATCTCCAACATCTGGGCGTCGGGCTCATTCTCCTCCTCGTAGAGGCTGACCCACTCCTCCTCATCACCGATGGCTCCAACCTATGGGAAAGATGATGCTCATATGGGATGGATGAGCTGGGGCATGGAGACGGCCATGTACAAGACATGTGGCTGCCTGGTGTGTGTCAGGCTGGGCAGAGCCATGCGTGTCCCCAACATGGGCAGATAACTGGATCGTGCACACGCGCCCTCAACTAAGCCCTGGAGATATGGCTCCTGCTATTCCCGTCAAGGTCAGGACCTAGAGGATGAAGTCTCTGGGAACAAACCCCCCAGGGCTAATCCACCATGGGAGAGGACCTCCCATGCCATCCTGCCCTTCCTCCTGGTTGACACGCAAGGACTCAAAGAGAGGCCCAGAGAGAAGACTTGGCCAGGATCCCTCTTAGGGTCCAGAGCCATTTCCACTACACACTGACCAAGCGGACTCTGTCTCTCCCTTTCCCACCCTGCCCATTTCTGTCCCAAACACACACCAAAGAACCAGCGCAGGCCTTGCACAGAGAAGGACTGGGCCCTGCCCTGGGAGCCGGACCAGTGGGCCAAGTCAAGAGAGCCATGAAGGGAGACAACATGACTTCATACCAGCCAGGAAAGCCCTAATTCTCCAACACAGGTTTCTGCATCCCTGTGCCAGGCACATGTGGCCTTGTGTAGGCCATGTGGCTCCGGGGGACCCGGCGGACGCGTGTGGAGGGAAGGCTGGGAGCGCAGAGGGGGTTTCAGGCCAAACAAGCAGGGGTGAGGTGGGTCAGCCCAGGCCTCTCTGCTTTTAACGCTCTGTAAATATGTCAGATGACAGTGCAGAAATGTGCTCATTAAATCTGCGGAGAGATCATTCGGCAAGTGGCCAGGTGGCTGGAGGACGGCTTAAGAATTTAAAGTCTTGGATAACTGGAGAAAGGTTCAGGAAGGCATGGAGGAGGCCAAGCAGACACAGAGCTGGGTGGCCCACCTCCTCCAGAAAGCTAAGTGCAAACTCGAAGCTCGGAACAGCCTGCACGGAAAGCACAGACACAGTCTGGCAGTTCCTCGGAAAGTTAGACGGAGGATGACCCTGTGGGTTAGCGAGTCCATGCCCAGGTGGACGCTGGGATGACCCAGAAGCTGGTCCTCTAGGGAGCATGAGAGCACTTCTGTTCCTGGAGGCTCTTCACAGCGGCTACAGGGGAAGGCCTCACGAAGGCCGGTCGCAGGAGGCACAGAGGAACACTGTGGTGGGTCCACACGGGGGAGTCCTAGTTAGCGGGACGCAGGCACCTACAGCCTACGGCATGGGCGACCCTTGAAAACACGAGGCTAAGTGAAAGAAGCAGACCCTAAAGACCATGTTTATATGATTCTACTTCATAAAACTCACAGAATAGGTAAATCCAGAGTCAGACTGCAGATGGCAGATACCAGAGGCTGAAGGAGGAGGGAGCTGGGAGTCACTGCTTAATGGTACAGCATTTCCCTTTGGGGTGATGACCCCAAAACCAGGTAGACGTGGGGGTTGCGGAGGGTCTGCACTCAGCGTTGGCTCTATGCCCGGCTCAGGGCAGAGCACGTGGCACACAGCAAATGGGACGGGGTGGCTCAGTGGGTTAAGCCTCTGCCTTGAGCTCAAGTCCTGATCCTGGGGTCCTGGGATCGAGCCCAATATTGGCCTTCTCTGCTTGTGCACTCTCTGTCAAATAAATATATTAAATAAATTTTAATAAGAAGTGTTAAAACGTGGGACGACTGGCCAGAACCATTTGGTAGAAAAGACCTAGAGATCAGAGTCCATGAGCAGCTGGGAGACAGAAAGCAGCGAGGCGGATGAAGGGGGCAGTGAGATCAGAAAATGAAGGAGTTTCCACCACCGGCTGGTGACGGGGGGACAAGGCGGCCGGCCCCCTCCAGTCCTCAGCCCTGGGACCCCCACTGGAGCCTGCACACCCTCACTTTAGAGACACAGAAATGAAAGAGGGAGAAAACAGACATAGATCGAGGCTCAATCCAGGTGGCACAGAAGCATGTCTTGGAGAACAGGAGGGCCAGGCCAGCCCCAGACAGCACTGCATGCCCACAGGGCCCACGGCGGTCAGCTGCCGCCTCCACGGTGCCTGTGAAGTGGGAGAGGCCCGGCAGGGGAAGACTGGCCAGCACTGACCATGGCCTGGGTCCATGCAACGCTGCTGGGCAGATGGAGGTGAGTCCCTCTGCAGGTGTGACATCAGGGCAGCGCACGAATGTCCACGTGGGAGCCTTGTGTGTGGCTCAGTGTCCAGCCCGCAGGAGACGCAGTGGGCGTCTGTAGGATGAATGGCTGAGGGCCGGTCTCGGCTCCGCACAGCTCACAAATGCCTTCTGAACCCTCAGCAGCGGGGCGGGGAGGTGGGGAGGGCGGGAGGGCTGGGACCACGTTCTCTGCTCAGTTATTGCCGCTCTAGACATGAACAAGGTTTACGAAGGTCTTAAAGCCAAAACGCTAACAATTCAGCTGCCCTGTACTGAGAAGCGGGCCCTGCGGACAGGGCCTCATGGGAGGATCTGGTGGTTTCTGAGTCCCAGGTGACAGGGAGCTCCTCTGAGTGAAAGGGATCCCTAGGAGACTGAACCAGAGCACCTGTACTCGTTCTTGGAAGACAAGTTTGGGGGGGAAAAAGGGAGAAAGAAAGAAAAAAAGAAGAAGAGCCAACTTCAGTTTCAGGGCAATCCGTTCAAGAGTTTTTATTTACCGCCAGATCCCAGGCTGAGAGGGCACAGGCGAGTGGGGTACTCGGGACACTGAGGGATGGAGGCGCGCGCCGGCCATGGGTACCTGCTCGTGGCCATTGGGCGCTGTGGCACCCGTGCTACCTGGTACCTTCATGTCTTTACGTGTCTGCCCGCGTGTGGGGGAAACCTGCATGCTCGGTGCCGCTTTTTGGCCAAATCCCCAGCCCAACCATGGAGCTCTCTTGTGCTTTTGCAAAGCCACTCCCCTCCCCTCCTCTCTCCAGTTGCCCTAGCCTCACCCCTCCAACTGTGGTTGCTTTATTTGAGCTCCTGGGGCAGAGGGATGTCCCCAGGCTAAGAAACAGCAGGGTGGTGGTGGCAAGTGCTTGGCCTTGGACCCTGGCTGTTGGCATTCCACCTGCCTGGTTGCCTCCCTGGCCTAGAAGCATCCATCTGCTGGCCGGGTGGCTGCCCTGACCCCGTGGCCATCACCCCTCCCCGGCCATGGCCTGCTCCTGGCCACACAGCTGCCATGGTTGACAGGGCTCAGCATGTGGCCTCAGCGGGGTCAGCAGCAGTCAGCTGCACTGGGTCCCAAGTCCGTTCCACTCACGTGCCTGTAAAGATGGGTGGAGAACTGGCAAGGCCTCCTTCCCGGGCCAGTGGCGGGGCTTTAAGAAGGGAGGACAGGATGAAGCAGCAGGCTCGTTTGGGTCTTGGGCCAGGTTGGCCCACAGCTCTGCCGCCAGGACGTGGGGTGGGGGGCATTGGATGAGGACTTCTACTTAGCCTACCCGGGGAAGGGGGTCCCCCAGTGGAGGGCCGCTGAGCAGGGAGGGCTCTCCTTCCGGAGTGCCAGGGCCCTGCTCACCTCCACCAGCCCCAGCCTCCTCCTCCTGTGAAGGTGGCTGCTGGCTGAGGGCAGGGCTGCTGTTCCGCCTCTAGCAGTAGGGCTGACACTGATGGCTGGGGACCCCCAAGGTCACACTTCCCGCCTTCTCACGGAGCACTCTGTCTCCTTTTGTATAAAACCTGGATTTGACGTGTGCCAAGTGAGTGGTGAGGCCAGGTGGCCCCACACAGCTTCTGGGCTCTTCCTGCCACTTCTCCCTGCAAAGCCAGTCTGTCATTCTGGGGAGGCGTCACTCAGCCTTAAACACCTGTAGCTCGCAAATGTTCTGCCATCTCTCTGGAGGGCGCCTCCCCCTCCTGCTCCTGTCCTGGTGGCTGGTGAACTCCTCCAGAATCCACAGAGCACCTGGGCCTTTGGGAAGCTTCTGCGACCCACACCCCCCCACCCCCAGCTCTGCCCCCCCACCCCCACCAGGCTGCTACCTCTGCGCTGTCAGGGCATCTTCCCTGTCCCTGACACACAGCGCTCCTCCCACCTGCCACAGCCCCTTAAAGACACGACTCTCCTACAAACACATGGTGCGTGTCCAGGATTCCTTTTGCTCACAGATGAGGGAACCAGCAAGGGTCTAGAAATGGTTCAGACAATACCAGATTCAAAGTACGCGGGGTCCGCGAAGGAGGACGCTGTGACAAGGTGGCCAAGTTAGAAGTCAGGCCAGCTACAAGAGCATGGCGATCGTAACCTCTGGGCGTGCGGCTTTCCATCTACTCTACGGTTGCATCGAACTTCACAGAGCCCGGCTGAATCATAAACAGTAGGTTGAACAGTTATAGTTCTTTTTTTCTTTTTTTCTTTTTTTAAAGATTTTATTTATTTATTTGTCAGAGAGCAAGAGCGAGCACAGGCAGACAGAATGTCAGGCAGAGGCAGAGGGAGAAGCAGGTTCCCTGACGAGCAAGGAGCCCGATGTGGGACTCGATCCCAGGACGCTGGGATCATGACCTGAGCCGAAGGCAGCTGCTTAACCAACTGAGCCACCCAGGCGTCCCTGAACAGTTATAGTTCTTAAGACAGATGAGCCTTAGGAGGCAGTGCACTCTGGCTGAGGGCCAAATCTGGCCCACCTCCTGTTGTTGTAAATAAAGTTTTATTGGAACACGGCCACACTCGTTGGTTTGTGTACTGTCTGCCAATGGCTATTTCCATGCTCCCGTGGCAGAGCCGTGTGGTTGTCACAGAGACTGCCTGGCCCTTTACAGGAAAAGTTTGCCATCCCCCTCCAGCATTTCACCCACAGGACATGCAGCACTCCCTCTGCCTTGCTTCCGAGGTGTCTTGCCACGTGTGTTCTCCCTTTTGTCCGCGTGAGAGCCCCCAGGCATGTTCAGGGTCTTACTCCTCTCTGTAGCCCTGGCATCTCCCCCAGGGTTCCAGCCCAGGCTGTTGGCTCCACAGACGAAGGAACATGAGGGAACACGTGCACGGTTTCCAAAATCGA